TCCGCCTACAACAAAAGAGGATGGAAAACCTGGTCATATGAAACTTATGACGGCCATAAACGACCTGATAATCGGTGGAGAAACCAGTTTAAAGGGGATCGAGTAAGGGTCGCGACATGGAATGTTGGGATTATGACGGGAAGAGCGGGAGAAGTGGTTGATGTATTGCATAGAAGGCATATAGATGTGTGTTGCATACAGGAGACCAGATGGAAAGGAAATGGCGCAAGAATGATTGGCAAGATTAGTGAAAAGTATAAATTCTTTTGGCAAGGAAGTAATGATGGTAAGGTTGGAGTTGGAGTATTGGTTGCAGAGAAATTGGTAGACAAAGTAGTCGAAGTGAGAAGGCTAAATAACAAGATAATGGTTATCAAAATGATTTTTGGTAGAAAGCTATATAATATTATCTCGGCGGTTCCACGTCATTACAGAGAAACCCTTACAGAGAATGTATTTTACAGAGAAACTTTTATAGAGAAAACAAAAATAGAGAATGCACTTATAGAGAAAACAATTATAGAGAATGTCGTTTATAGAGAAAATTTTATAGAGGAAGTTTTATATAGAGAATGACGTTTATAGAAAATGCACTTATAGAGAAAACAATTATAGAGAATGTCGTTTATAGAGAATAATTTTATAAAGAATAATTTTATAAAGAATAATTTTATAAAGAATAATTTTATAAAGAATAATTTTATAAAGAATAATTTTATAAAGAATAATTTTATAAAGAATAATTTTATAAAGAATAATTTTATAAAGAATAATTTTATAAAGAATAATTTTATAAAGAATAATTTTATAAAGAATAATTTTATAAAGAATAATTTATAAAGAATAATTTTATAGAGAATAATTTTATAGAGAATAATTTTATAGAAAAAAATTTTTTAGATAATAATTTTACAGAGAATGATTTTATTGAGAATGATTTTACAGAAAAGTTTTATAGAGAATGATTTTATAGAGAATGTATTTTATAATTATTTTATAATGAATGTATTTTATAGAATTATTTTATAGAATTATTTTATAAAGAATGTATTTTATATAGGGAATTATTTTATAGAGAATTATTTTATAATGAATGCATTTATAGAATTATTTTATAAAGAATATTATTTTATAGAGAATTATTTTATAAAGAATATTATTTTATAGAGAATTATTTTATAAAGAATTTTATTTAAGAATATGATTATTTTTTAAAAAATATATATATAGTCATAGGGAAAAAAAATTTCAGTATTTGACATAATATTATATATTAGAATTACCTTATATAAGAGAATAATTGGGTAATTTTTGAATTATTACAATCGGTACAGAAAATTATATCTTTGCACAAGACTTTTCGATTGCTACAGTTACGATTTTGTAAATGTGACTAGTTATAAATATTTTTTAGCTAAATTGTTGCTAGTTAATTGTAATCACTTAATTTGACAAAACTAATGTAGAGATTTTCATTTATAAGCTTTTTTTATCTTCAGCAAAATTTATTTAGTTCTTACTTATATTATTATTCTTTCTAAAAATTTTCATTTATAGATGGGACACACCTATAATCCATTCTTAAGTTAAAAGTTATTTGCCACTAAAAGATAAACAAATTTTGACATGATTTGTAAGGAATTTTACGAAATTTATTTTTAAAGATAATAATACAAAATAAAATATATAGTGTTGTTAAAAGTTACTTTGGCAATGTGACTTAAAGAATATGTTTATACTATTTGTATATGAAGTTTTTATAAGATAAACCTTGATAATATATACTGAGCTTAACAATATCATTTTGAAATATCAAATTAATTTTTATTCATAAAAAATCCAAATAAACATAGTATAAATAATATAATAAAAATCTTCCACGATTAGAAAAATCCTTTTGCGATATTCTTTCTTTGACAATGGAGCCAATAGTCCTAAAGAATATTGTTCCAATTTATAATTCAGGCTATCTTCGTCTTTGGGAGCTAAAAATTAAATTCCTAAAATTTATAATATAATTACTGACTCTTTATAAATTTCCAGATCGTTGGATGATGGGAACTTATATGAGACGAAAAACTTCTATGCCAGTCCTCTACTGAATTATTTGTATTCGGTTCACGAGATAGTGTCGATTCATAGCAATTCCATGGAGAAATGCTAAATATTGGCGACTTCCTCTCCATCGTTATCATTTTCCCAATCCACGTCTCTTCAAAGTATTCTAACAAGGGGGAGGGGAGAATATCAGTATTTTCTTGATAAAAATTAAAGGCATATAATTCCTCGAATCCATGAATTACATCCTCAATTGGTACATATGCCAGTGTCATTAACATTTTTTTGTACATAGCAAAATTTGTTTTGATTTTGTATGCATTGCAAATTAGCGGATTTTTTGAACCGTGCGCCATATGCATTGAGACATATGAAATAGGCATCCGCGCAAAAGTAACTGGTTACTTAATTTATATATATATTTCAATAAATATAATTAAATAATAAATTTAAATTTGGAAATTTTTTTAACATTCATTTGCTATCTGATTTAAATCTTAGCCAATGAATTTATATTAATATAAATATATTCGATTTAACGTAATTTATTTAATCGATCAGGCTAGCCCTGAATCTACTATACACTAAAAATAATTGTAACTAGTGGCTAATTATATTTAAAAAAAGAAAACTATTAACTGTAACTTGTTATATTTTCCCAACTACTAACTTAACTAGTTGCATTACATTGCCAAAGAAACTTTTAACAACACTATCTATCTTATTTTGTACTTACAAATCATGTCAAAATTTTATTCTACCATTAATTCATCTAATAATCGAAAAACCTCGTATATATAAGGTAATTCTAATATTTAAAATTATGTAAAATACTTTAACTTTTTTTTCCTATGACTATATATAACATTTTTTTATAAAATAATCATATCTTTAAGTAAAATTCTTTATAAAATACAATCTTTATAAAATACATTATTTATAAAATAATTCTCTGTAAAATCATTCTCTATAAAATTATTCTCTATAAAGTCATTCTCTGTAAAATCATTCTCTATAAAATAATTCTCTGTAAAATCATTCTCTATATATGACATTCTCTATAATTGTTTTCTCTATAAAAAATTCTCTGTAAAATACATTCTCTATAAAATAATTCTCTATAATCGACATTCTCTCTAATTGTTTTCTCTGTAAAAGTTTCTCTATAATTGTTTTCTCTGTAATGACGCGATTCCTATCTCGGCATATGTTCCTCAGGTTGAAAGAAGTGAAGAGAAAGACATATTTTGCGACAGTTTATTGGGGGTGACATCGAGACTGGCAAATGTAGAGAGGATTATCCTGGCTGTTGATCTGAATGGATATGTAGGAGCGAGTAGTGAGGATTATGAAGGAGTACATGGAGGTTACAGTTATGGCATGAGGAATCTGGAAGGGGAGAGGATTTTAGATTTTAATGATGCTATGGATATGATTGTCTGTAATACAATGTTTAAGAAAGAATCAGAGAAGCTTGTGACTTATAAGTCGGGTAGTACCAAAAGTGCGGTGGATTATTTGTTATTAAGTAGATATGATAGATGTTTAGTAAAAAATGTGAAAGTGATACCGGGAGAGGAATGTATTAATTAGCATCGACTAGTTATAGGAGATCTTACTTTTATAGGCGCCAGGATAATAAAAGAAAATTTGTGCCAATTAAGGTCTGGAAATTGAAGGAGTGTGAAAGACGACAATTCCTTATGAAGTTGGCGATAAAGGAGGCGGAGGTGGCACAAGCATCTAGAGTAAATGACAAGTGGGAAGCCATGAGGAGAGCCTGGGCGATGACAACTGAGAAGGTATGTGGATGGACAAAAGGGCCGCCTAGACATAAGTAGACTTGGTGGTGGAACCCGAAGGTAGCGAAAGCTGTGGATGAGAAACGCAGGTGCTTCAAAGAATGGTATAATAGTAAAGATAATAGTGATAATGATTATTATAAAATGGCGAAAAGAAATGCTAAGAAATTAATAACGAAGGCGCAAGAAGAAAAAAGGCAGGAGTTTGCTAAAGAAATGGAATGCGCTGAAGAAATGAGAAATGTGGTTCGAATTGTAAAGCAGATGGCAAAATGTGGTAGGTGTTAAATGTTTGAAAAATATGGAAGGAAAAATGGTGATTGATAGAAATGTTAAGAACACCTGGAAGATCTACATGGAAGGACTTTTGAACGAAGAAAATGAATGGGATAATAATGTTAGTTGTGCAAAGGTAGAAGGTCCAGGGTGTAAATTTGGCAAAGATGAAATAAAGAGAGCAGTGAAAAAGATGTAAAAAGGGATGGCATCGGGTTTAACGATGGTTGTATCAGAGATGTTTAAAGGTCCTGATGACTTAGGGATTGAATGGTTAATGAATTTGGCAAATCAAATTGTCACAGATGGAACTATTTCCGAGGACTGGCGAAGAAGTATAATTATCCCAGTATACAAGGGAAAATGTGATCCTCTAGATTGCGGGTCTTAGAGAGCTATTAAAATCTTGGAACATGCAATGAAGGTATTTGAGAGGGTGTTAGAGAAACGGATAAGGGAACAAACTAAAATGGATGAAATGCAGTTTGGTTTTACATCTGGGAAAGGCATAACAGATGCCATTTTTGGTGAGACAAATACAGGAGAAGTATCTTGTGAAAGAAAAGAAACGATATTATGCGTTTGTTGACTTGGATAAAGCATATGACAGGGTGTACTAGATGGGCCTTGAGAAAATCAGGTGTGGAGGAATGGTTGGTTATCGCAGTGATGGAAATGTATGTGGGAGTACAAACAGCAGTACTGACGGATTATAGTGATAGTGAAGGCTTTGAAGTGAAGGTAGGACTTCATCAAGGATCCGTGCTGAGTCCATTATTATTTATATTAGTAATGGAAGTGGTGGCTAGAGAAATACGCGAAGGACTTCCCTAGGAGCTATTATATGCAGATGACCTTATATTAATGGCAAACAGTGAGGAAGAATTGAGGGATAAAATTAGTAAATGGAGGATGGCTATGGAAGCAAAGGGAATAAAAATGAATATAGCAAAGACAAAGGTGACGATTGGTTGGAAAATTCTAAAGATGGAGGAATCCGGTAAGTGGCCTTGTGCTGTATGCGGGAAGGGAGTTGTTAGAAATTCAATCTAATGCACCAGATGTCATAAATGGGTATATAATAGATGTAGCTGGAAAAAAGGAAGTTTGATGTTATCATGAATGACTTTTATTTGTAGATCGTGCATAATAATGATAACGTAGAAAATGGTGGTTTGGATATTGGAAATAGGTTAACCCTAGAAAAAGTGGATAAGTTTTGTTATTTGGGTGATATGCTAAACCCAGATGGTGATGCAGATTCTGCCGTTGTTGCAAGGGTCAGACAAACATGGAAGAAGTTCAGAGAGATGTCGCCTATTCTAACAAATAAAAAGGTCTCTGAAGTTAAAGGGGAAAGTTTCGTAAGTTATGATGAGTTGTTTAGTTTATGGCGGCGAAACATGGGCAACGAAAGCGACTGACGAAGCCAAATTAGAAAAAACAGAGATGAGAATGATTAGATGGATGTGTGGCGTTTTTCTGAGAGAAAAAAACTAGCAAGGAATTGCGAAGATAGGGTATAGAAATGATAGGAGTGGTAATGCGACGAAATAGACTAAGATGGTTTGGGCATGTGGAACGTATGACAAAAGATGACTGGGTAAAGAGATGCACCTTGATGGAAGAGGAACAAGACATAGAAGAAGGCCCAAGATGACGTGGACAAATGTGATAGCGGCGGATATGAAAAGCAAGAATCTTACAAATATTGATGTTCAGGACCGTCAGAAATGGAAAAGAAAAATCAGAGGGAAAACGGGCCTACCTGAGTAAACCTGGAAATCGCCATAAAACGGAGGAAGAACTAATAGCTCCCTCCTTTCTTGAAAATTAAGATGGTATAAAAATTAATTTCATGACTCCTCTTTTAAATTTTAATCATATACAATTAAGTCTTTGTAATTATAATGTGATATATAAAAATAAGATTTTTTTGACTTTCTAAAAATAATCAATCAAAATATGCAAGCAAAACAATTAAAAAAAATGAATTTTATTTAAAAAAAAATTTCAATCGATTTTATACTATAACAGATACATTTATATATTATTTATAATATTACACATAAATAATTTATACAAAAATTAAAAATCAAAGTATATTCTCTTTGTTCTCATTAACCTCTTTCAATATGTGACATTGAAAAGCTAATTTAGGATCAAATTTCTTTTTACCTTCCAATCTATTCATCTTATCTTCATAAGCTTTCAAAAGTTGGTCCTTCTTTTTCAAATCGTGCTTGACTTTGTTTAGTTCCTTATTCACACATTAATAAGAGAAATGAAAATAAAATATCGGGGAAGATTTTTTTTCATAAAATTTTGTATAAACATATTTTAGTTTTTTAAAAATATTCTTAATTCTAGTTAATAGCTCCTCTGAAAAATCTATTACCTTAAGAGCTATAAATTTAAATTAATTGATCAAATAAACAATATACAAATATTTCAACAATATTTATCTATTAATTAATAAATTTGATTTAGATGTTTTTAGTATAAATGTGTCTTATTCCAAATATAATTAATATGTCTATCAAATTTTGGATTTATATCATTTTATAAAACGAGGTGGCGATATTATTATAACTAATTATTGTATTTTATAAGTTGCTATTTAAAGTTGTTAAAAATAATAAGAATTCTAGAAATTTCTGAGCTCGACTATATTTAAAAAAAGGAATGTTTTTAATGCACAATAAAAATAGAACATTAGTTGTTTAGTGATGTCAAGTGCCCTTCCTAAAATGATATTGTGTGTAAAATAGTTATTTGACATTAAAAATTAAATAAAATGATGATTTACATCATTCAACTTTAAATTTTCTTCTTTCAAAGTTATAACGTGCCTGATTTTTTGTTTGTGATTGTGATGACCCATGGTATCGGCTTGTTCTAATTCAAAATTTTTCAATTCTTTCGTCACTTTGGCATTCAATTTAGCTAGATTCTCTTTCTCAACCTTGAGCACTATGATTTGTTTGTTAGCTTCATCGAGGGTGGTTTCACAACTAAAATCATGATATTAAAGATTAAATTTTTTTTTTAAGTTTCAAAATTTATAAGATAATTTTTTTAAAATGATAATATATATCTTATAACTTTAAAATAGACGATTGTTTTAGAATGCTTTTATGACCAATCCCAATAAGACTTTTTTAAAGTCAAAAAGCAACTTATATGGAATGCCAATCAATTTTGAATTAAAAATTATCTTTAATAAGTAGTTGGGTAACTCTATTTTTAGCCATAGCCAAAAACCAACATTTTAGTCATGGGGTTTTTCTTAAAAATATAATAGATCAAATTTGAAAGAAACTAATATAAATTACAACGCCTGAATGTTAACGGATTTTCTTGGAATGCGTTTGAAGATTGAGTCTAATTAGCGAGCATTTAACTATTACCCAACTATATTAATAAGTCAAGATAATTTAAAATATAAAATTATTATTTTTTCTTTAATATAAGATTTCGAATTAAATATAATGTAAATGATGACAATTAGTAACAAAAACTCTTCTTGCGTAATTATATAATATATTTGTTTGGGTATTTAAATAAAGTACAAAAAATAGTATTTATTTGTAAATTGTAGTATTAGGACTAATTGATTAAATCATGTATTCACATTATATATAAATTTTACTGCCATAACCAAAATGATTGAAATAAAATTTGGCACAATTTGTCCAGCTTATATACCGCTGATATAAAGGTATGTATTAACCTTGATACGAATGCATCTTTTTTTTAGATATTTCCCCAAAGCATTAACTTTTTGGCCCATTTTTTGCCGTAAACAAAAAAAACCAAAATATCACCTCCCTGTTGGGTTGGGGGGCCTTGTCGATAGCCATTAAAAAGTGCCAAGATATAACATTTTTGCGAATTTATTATATAAGTGGAGTTTTGTTATTAAATTATGTCACTTGGCACTTTTTACGACATTTTGCTAATTTACCATTAGATTTGCACATTTATTAAATAATTTGAGTGGTTGCTATTAAATTTCTTTAGCACTTTTAGGCTAAACGACATTTTGCGAATTTTTGCTCAATTACTTTTAAATTTTCTAATTTAGTATTGTATTAGCTCATTTATTTTATAGTTCAATATTTGCTATTAAATTTGGTCGTTTGATACTTTTAAAAAGGCATTTTACTATATTTTAGTGCATTTATTAAATTTAATCCTTTGGCACTTTTTGGCAATGTGCAGGTATATCCACTTTTGGGGATTCGTGATGACTAAACTTTATTGTTAAAAAATGATAATATAGTTGTCTATTTATGTTTTAAAATATTAGTAATGTTGACTAAACTATCTTGAAATTGAAGAGTTCTAGTTTCAAATATTTTTAGATCATTCTGGTCTTAAAATTTGAAACCCTCTAAATTGATTCAGTCACTATTTTGAACTGTATACAAAATATACTTGCACTTTCGTTAGATATGATCTGTGAAAATTTTAAAATGGAGTTTGGTTCCTTTAAAATTTAAAAGATAGGTTCCAAGATTTGTACCAGTAACAAGCTCTGAAAAAAATTTCCTGGATCTAGATTGTTAAAACTTTCGTTAATTTTGTTTTTATATTCACCCCCTCTTTAAAATTGTATTTAATAAACATTAAATCTTGATCGAATAATCGAAACACAATTAACTTCAAAAGGACAATAAAAATAGTTATAACAAAAAGGTTATTTGGACTTAAAAAATGGTTATATTAGAACATCAATAGAAATTTAATATTGTTTATACATTTTGAGTTTATTATAAGTCTCTTCAGATTCTTGAGATAATTGTTCTTTGAAAGAGGAGATTTTTAATTTGTAATTATCGTCGTATTCTTTCAATATCTGTTGTTGATTATTACTATTTTGTTCTAAAAGGTTGTTGATATTCTATAAATAATTCAAAATATATTGTTTATAAAACCTTAGATATTTCGAAATTGCAAAGGTTAACATGAATAAAACGATTTCTATTCAGACTAAAGTTAATATAGACATTAATAAGAATAAAATGAGATATATATAAAATAAAACTTTGATTTCATTTTCCTTGGTATTAATGTAAGAGGTCATTTGCTGTATTTCGAGTTGAAATCCATTTACAATCTCTTGGGCCTCTTTGTAGTTATCACATAATTTATCATACTCATTTTTGTACTCTTCCAAATCGACCTTCAACATGTTGATTTGATCTTCTGAAACGATTTTATCCTTTTTGAAAATTTCTTTGATATCATCTTTCAATATTCAAATAATGGAAAATAAACAAACAAATATAATAATTTTAAAAAAATGTTTGTTACAAAAATATATGTGTAATATATCAAACTTAATTTATCCTGTAACTCGAAGTTATATGTTTTCAGTTCAGAGGCTTTTCTTCTTTCCAGTTCCAGTTCTTCTTCCAATTTTTCTATACCAAAATCATTATTAATTTTTCAAATTATAAGATATAAGATGATTAGGTAATATAGAAAATTAGAGAATTTGATAAAAAATATTTAAATTATGGATAATAATTTAATAATTAGCAGATAACTGGTCCAAACCTTTCTAAATCAATTTTAGAGGGGCAATAGAATCATAAATATTTCGAATGCCCGAAGATCTTATTTATGAAATGCAGAATGATCAAGGAAACTTCCTTTTTTATTGGAAGAGAAATAGTTGAAAATTCGAAATTTTAATCTCATATATTATAGGGCTTTAGTAAAGATTAACAATCCGGTCTTTCTATATTAAATTAATTTAGGCATATTAAGTTAGCCTTAAATACATTTTTACAATTAAAATCTATTTAAAACATGCAGCAATAACTAAATTTATTTTATTAAAATTTAAATATTAGTATAAATTTGTTATTATTTATGAGTTATAGTGTTTATGTTTACAGTTTAAAAAACATTCTAAAAATCTATGAATAAATATATTTAGGCATAAAATAGGAGGATACTAAAAAAAGTTAAAATATCCAAAGATTTTTCTTGTAGTATTTAAATCTCCATGGTGTTTCTACACCACAGTATACCCCTTAGGGGTTAAATAAAGAATTTCAATAACAGGGTTTAAAGATACAATTATATTATTCCATATATATATTAAACTGATTTGTGATTCATATTTTTGACATTCATGATTATTTTGTGATTTAAATGTTTCCAAATCTTTAATATTTTTTTGAAGTTCAATAAGCTAAAATACATTCAAAATGGAGTTAGTAAATTATACTATACTCTTTTTGATGCCATTTCCTTGTTATATACAATTTGTTCTTTAATACTATTGTATTCATCAATCAAGAGAACATTTTTTTGCTTCTCTTTCTTTAGCTCTAATGATGATTCATTTAATTTATCACTTATTCTTTGTGTTTGTTCTTTAAATAATATTTCTTTATTTTCTATTATTTTATTAGTGATAAAATATTATATATTATAATGTCTAACGTATATCTAGTTTCAATTGTTTGATCTTATCAGTCAAAGATTGTTGTTTACCTTCAACTTGTAATTTAAATGATTCTAGTTCTTCAATTTCATTTTGAAATTTAATGATCTAAAATAAAATGAAGGGTGTTAGTTAATATTTATATACTTTTTTGGATGTTGTTTCATCATAACATGTAATTTCTTTCGTAATACGACTGTTTTCATCAATCAAAAAAGAATTTTCTTGTATTTTCCCAGCTAATTCTGATGTTAACTCATTTAATTTTTCATTTAATTGTTGTATTTGTTTTTTAAATAATGTTTCTTTACATTCTACATATTCATGGATAGGTAAATTTTATAAAACATTTAGATATGGGTAAATACATTTCAAAAATTCTATTTAAAATAATATATTAAAAAATAAGATTAAAGGACAAAAGATGAATGGAAACCAATTTTCTTAAATAATTTTAATATCTAGGCCAGGTCCAATACCAGATTTTACAAAAAATATTTTAATTTTTTAGCATATCCTCAACACTAGAATAAATATAATTAATTGAGAGTATTCAATATTTTATTTATCTAATAAAATTATTTTGCGTTGTAAATAAATACTTTAAAAAAAAAATTAATTTTACATGTTTTATACAAAATATTATGTAAAAATTTTACATATTTTATACAAAATATTATGTAAAAATTTTACATTTACTTAAAAATCTTCATATTTTAAAAAATTAAACGCTTATATATGAGAACCAGCAGGATCCATAGAGGGAAGATTTAGGATTGGTATTAAAACCAGTACATCTCAAGACATAATGCTAAACTATTTACATTTATAATATTGACAAGTCAAATCTTTAATCCAAGGATTTAAAAATTTCCCTATTTACATCCCAATTAAATTTAAAAAAAGTGATGTCTTTATTTTGTAAATTGGTTCAAAGATAAGTAAAATACATGAGCAATAAATAATTTTCCAATTTGTATCATTTTATAACTTACTCTGGGGTTAAGCATAAACCTGCCAATGCCAAACCTAAAATTGTAGTTTAAGAAAAAGCAAAATATTTTTGATCAGTTGAAAATTTAAATCTCTATATGGAAAATATTAGGGATGTACCGATATTTTATATCGGATCGGGCCGATATTTCGCCCATTTTAAAATATCGGTTATCGGCAAATATTATAAAATTTTCCGATCCGATATAAAATGGCGCTTTTAACAAAATTTAAAAAAAGTTATATCTAAAAATCCATTTATTTTTATAAATAAAATCGTAATATATTTTTATGCTTAATTATTTTAATAGTAATAATTAGTTAATAAACATTCTGCAATATAGTTATTTTTTTTCGCATTCTGTTTAAAAAAGTGTTCATTAATCTCTTCAGAATCTGTTTTTAGTGACACTAGTGATATTAACAGTCCCCATCACCGCAGACCGATCTCTGATAAATTGGAAATTTTGGTATTTCTAAAAAGAAATCTTCGATAAATTAATTTTATATATTAATTTCAAAATATTTGTTTATTACTAATTATGTAAATAGATTAATGTTATTACTTATTATATAAATAATTGCAATTGAATTGAATATAAACTATAACTGATCATTAAAATATATATAAATGACATATGTTATGGTATAGTAAAATTATAGATGTTGTACTAATAAAAAGAATATTAAAAATTAAAACCGGTATCTTACAGAATACAAAATTAGATATGATATTGGATTGGTTATCGGCCGATATCAATTAAATATCTGGAATATCGGATCGGATCGGCCTCCGAAAAGTGGTATTGGTACACCCCTAGAAAATATTATTTTATACACAAATATATAGGAGTAGAGATTAGAGGCTCTGCAAATGGTGTGTTTCCAATTCTTTTACCAAGGCTGCCCAACTAAGCTTGATTTTTTTTAAATCGCTGCCTGTGTTTTTTTACATATAAAGCCTGACTCAAAATATATGTAGTTGTAGATCAAAATAAACAACTCTTTATAATATTGGGGAATAGTAAAAATTTAAAACACTATACTTTATGGATTATTACTTCTATCAATACCAGAATTCATGAATATGCCTAATACATTATATAATACATCCTATTTCTGCTAATAATGATTTGACAATTTTTTGAGATTAAATCAAAATTCAGATTATGATCAAAATACCTAATAATTTGGATTGTATTGTCAATCTTATTTAAATAAGTTTATATTTTATTTTTTTCATGCCCTCACATAGAATTCTTTCCCCTAAATATATTATTTCGAAAATAGGCCTTAGAATAAATTTTTTCTTCTATTCTCTATTAAACAGACGAGACATCTCTACTTTTTGTCCACCCAGCCCAATAATTTTTTTTCAGACATTACCCACCTCAGCTTGGGAACTGCAGATCTCTAGAAGGGATGTATTGGTTCTAGGATTTGGTACTTGATTTTTCTTATTTGGATCTGGCCAGCCATATTAAAATAGCTTGTTATTTTTAAAATATAATTTTTTTTAAATTCTGAAGTTTCATTTACCATTCTAATCAGGGGCCCAGAGTGAACCGTAACAAACCGATAAACCATTATAAATATCTAAACATAATTGTAACCAATATAATTATTTTAAAGAACCTTTATAAAAAATTGTCAAACCGATTCAGTTTTTATACTTTAGAAATGGAAATAATTTGAATATCCAGAATTATATAAACTTGCTCTTATAGTACTGGCGGTTCCCAAAACACAAGTTTCTGTAGAAAGGGCTTTTTTGGGGCTAAAATTTGTGCTACCGTGAAAACAAACAAAAAGGATCCATTTATATTAGAAAATATATTACTTATCAAATAATATATTTAAAAATGAGTTATTTTGAATCTTATATATTTTTTTATATATAATAAATAGATGCTTATAATAATAAAAAAATTAGAAGATGGTGTTGCTTCAATAAAAAAAAATTTCTAACCGTAACAAACCTTTAATTAGGTGAACCGAACCTTTATAAATTTCTTCTTAAGAACCGTAACCATTATAATTTTCTACATACTGAATCGTAACCAAACTGAAGCTATAAATAATGGTTTGGGTGCCTGATTCTAATACATGTAATTTCTCATTTTTTAAAAACTACAAAAAATTTTAATGCTTAGAATGGCCTATTAATATAATTTAAAAAAAAGATTTGTGAGGCCTGCCTGAAATTTTTTAGTACCAAAAATTCAGACCAATATATAGTTTTTAAATTTTGTCTAGCCTGTAGATCTTGGATTGAAAAAAAAGGAAGCAATGGGGGAAAATATTAGAAATGTTTTATAGGTCACATACCAATACTTTAATAACTGTTAGTAAAAAATATTATAATGGATCATAATTTATCCACTTGTCAAATTTAAGCTCCCTCTGAAATTATTTACAAAATTCTTTAAAAGGATAAATTTTAAATGTTCAAGAAATAAAATTTTAAAGAGGAATTTCTGGGATCCATTATTATCCCTCCTCAAAATGAAATTTGATCAAAAAACAAATATTGCAAATTACAAGTATATTTAATAATATATTATTAACATTTACATTAAGTTAATAACAATTATTCCATCAGGATTTCATGAAAATAATTCTCAGAGATTATTTCAAATGCTATATAAGAGTTTAGTATTTAAATAAAGAGATAAATACAAGATATTTCTTCAAAAAATATCTTGTATATAAGATACAGTAATTTGCAATACTGTACAACTCTGTATATATTTTATTAATATGTATTTGTTATAATATCAAACGTATATCTAATTCTAATCGCTTCAACTTTTCAGGCAAAAAATTTTCTTGGCATGTAGCATTAATTTTCTAACATATTTGATAAATATGTATAATTATATATAAAAAAATACTTTTTTAAAATTTTTAGGAGTTCTGTATACATTATTATTTCCATTATCTCTAGAATATTTAATAATATCCGTATCGGATTTATAGTATGGTAAATCAGTCTCATCTATTTATAATTATAATTGCCAAATAATTATAATTTACTCATTTCTTTGAAGCGTTCAGTTTTAGAAAATATTGAGTTATGTTTACTTCCACAAATTTTAGGATCATATGTACCCACTGGAGGCCCATAACCTTAAAATCATATATAAATAAGTTATATATTAATTACTGATTATATCGTTAAAACGTTTGATTTTCGCTCTTGAAAACGACATAATAATTGTTTTAATTTTGAAATGACCGCTTGAAATATATTATCACTAAAAACACTTGTAAATAAGATAAAAATTTTTTTTTAAAATACATGTATTAATATCGTAATCATATTTATAATTAATATATATATATAGTTATATTTATATATAGTTATTATATATAGTTATATTTATATATATATCTGTATATACATTTATTTTTTATTTTGAAGACTTTCAATATTCATAATATTTGAATTAAGATCAAATATGATTAATTTTGATACCTCTATTATTTAAATATGCATAATAATATGCCAATATATACAGAAATAATTGTTCTGTTAAAAAAAAATTTATATTTGCATTATTTTAATTTTAAAAATAACTATATATATATCGTAAAATATACTTTAGTGATAGGAATTTTAATATATTAAATCCTAACCACTACTTTCAGATATCTTTAAAGTTTTTAAACTTTATATACATGATTCTGCCTGAATTGAATTTATTAATATTAAATAGTTTTATCCAGCTATCCTTGAAATGAAGTTAAAATTTGCTTAAATTTATTTACATATTTTTTTAGATTGGAAAATCACAACATTCAATTGGGAGATATAACACACCATAATGTAAAACTTTTAAAGCTAGTTAATCAAGTTGTCTTTCCGGTTTCTTATAATGAAAAATTTTATAAAGATGTTCTAGAAGTGGGTGATTTAGCCAAATTAGGTATGAATGACTTGATTTTTTTATCTAATCTTATTTTTTTTTAGTTTATTTCAATGATATAGTCGTGGGAGGAGTATGCTGCAGAATCGATACTATAGATGGCAAAACTAAGCTTTATATTATGACCTTAGGTTGTTTAGCTCCTTATCGAAATCTTGGAATAGGTTATAAAATAGACTTAGTTATAAATAATTGTAATATTCTTATTTGATAATTTAGAATCTAATAATATTTACTTTAATACATTTATATTGCACTTGTTAAAATATTAAACAATGATATGTTATTTGTAGGCATGCTAGAATTATATAATTAAAAAATATTTTATATAGCCTAAAATAACATTAAATTGGTAGGACTGGCAGTTATTGTATAACATATTTATTTGAATATCTTCATAAATTTTATACAATAAACTTATATATTTATAATTTTGACTTAAATATGTTTTTTTGAAAAATATTTTATTAGGATCTCATATGCTCAATCATGTATTTCATATTTGTGAAAAAGATAATAGAATTGATACAATATATTTGTAAGTTATATAGAATATTTATTATTTCTATTTTATAAATATTTGATTTTCATTTTTTTATTATTACAATTTTTTGCATCACTTTCAATTTTGATAATAATTTATAGACAACATATAGATTAAAAAATTTTGCTCATTAGTAATTAATTATTTGAGATAATGGGATTTAAGATATAAAAATTAATCTTTTACCTATTTTTGGTGCTAAATAATTAGTTATAATTAAAAACTATATCAATTTGAATCAGGGTTGTGCATTTGATCAGTCAAATAAGATTCAGTCAATTGACCAATATTTGACCAGCAAATATGGTCAAATTTAAATAAATGTTTTTTAAGAAAATATTAATTCTATTTTATATATAATAGTAAAAAATATATGTATATTAAATTATTTTCTAAATTCTATAATTAATATTTCACTCTCCATGGTAAAATCTTATCATTTTCTTCAGCATTTTTTAATCAGTCTTAGGTTATGATATACTCCTGCCAATTTTCTGGTTGTCGAGATCTTCTATCTCTTAATATTCGAGGTGAACAAAGCTCATTCCAACTTGAGCCCGAAATCTGATCGTTTTATGAAAGTTACTGGTTTCCACATATTTTGGCTATTAAATACATTGCTTTTGCTTCTGAAATTTATGATATTACTTAAAATATTCTGATGATCATCTCTTTATGAAATGACTAATTTGTGTATTATGTTATATGGATATGTTTCTTCAAACTCAAGTAAGATGTTCCCCTTATATAAGAGATCTAATAAATAATCAGCAGTGCAGTGTGAGCACATGTATTTGGATTGTTTTCTTTTTCAAACTTATCTTTAATATTTTTTCTTTAGGTTGGTAAATTATAAAATCATGGACATTAATGTATTATTTGTTTTCTAAATTAACCATCTAGGTTTTTACCTGAGCCAAGGTCAATTAGATAGCTAAATGTTTATGAATAGTTAAAATTTTTAAATTTTTTGTCCAAAATATCATATAATATATTATTGGTAATTTCTCTCAGACCAACTTCTTCAACAGCTGCTCTCAGAGCCTTCTTGCATATTTATATTTGCTCATTACATTTTATTAATGATGCCTATCTTGTTTGGATAATTGTACATAATGTAATATAAATTGACAATTAGTAATTTTCTTAAACCATGCTTAAGTAAAATGATTATATTTTTATATTTAGATCCAATCAAATTAATTATGAGAAAATTTTTTTTTATGAAAATTTTATATTTTTATATAAAATTATTATTAAATTGACGCCTTTACAAATATATTTTAAAATAATTTGTAAATTAATTAGATTGATGCTTTACATACATATTAGTTCATTAAACTATAGTTTTTCACATATATCCTTCAGTCAATTGACCGAATTTGACGGGTTAGTTGAGCGACTTGCCAACCCTGATTTGAATATTAAATTTTATATTTATGATCAAGTCAATGATTGAAAAACAAAGGTAGAAAATATATGCAAATCGAAACTTTAAGTTTTTAAAATGACTATGAGCCCCAATGTTATCCTACTTCTTGATTTTTATTTATTTTCATATATGACACAAAAAATCAAATTTTAAAACACGTTTTATTTGTATACTATTTTATCTTATAAACATTAATATTTTAATAAAAATATAATTAATCAATAATAAAGTATTTTTATATAATAAAAATTTAATTATTTTGATTTACAATTATATAACAAACAAAATTACAATTTTTTGGTATACAGAACCCATGTACCCAACTTTATATACTCTATATTAGTGTTGTTAAACGGCTCAATTTAAGCCGATTTTACGGCTAACTCAATATTTTATTAAGAAAAAATATTATGCAAGCCTAAAGATTTTGCTCATAGATGGCACATAGGAACATCTATTGGCGAAATCTCGCTTAGGCAATATTTTCCTGGCTCGTTTTTAAAAATCGGCTCAAATCGAACCCTTTAACAACACTACTCTATATAAAACCAATATTCAAAATAATAACAATTTTTATAATCCATTTTATAAAATAACATATCCTCTTTTTATAATAATATTTTTTTCCGTTTTCTATTCTGTTGTTTTAAAAATAGGCGTTTCTTAAGGGGAGGGGTAAGATGATAATTTCATCCTTTTTTTCATCTCCCTTAATTAGTGAATTAAGAAGAGATTGGGACTGAGATAAATGGTGGACTTGGGAAATTGTTATAAGAGCTGAGGATTAATTGGGATGTTTTAAAAAAATGAATTGTTAAGGACAGAAATAATTCCTTCAAATATTATAAACAATCTATCAGGAATGGATAATCATAGGAAACTTTCCTCATGAAATAATTCATAATAAGAATATAGCGCGATCAAATCCCTTTAAAATTTTTTTAGGGATGTTGAAAAAAATAAAATATTTTTTTGGCATCCACAAATCTAGCAAATTATTACATAAAATTAAATGGACTTGGTTATGCCTAGTAGCTAAAGCCTATTAGTGGAGTGTAGGGAAAGGTTAAAAGTATTATCCTATTAACAATGCAATATTGTTTTGCTTGTATATGTGATTATCTAATATTTATAAAATTTTAGATTTCTGACTGTGTATAGCATAAGTTACATTGTACGGTTACCAAAATTTGTTATTTTTTTAAAAATCAGAAAAATTTATTTTTTTGCTTTAAATTGAGATTTTTTATATTTAAATTAGAGAAGTTACAGATTTAGATTGAAAATATTATGCATGATAATTTTTGTTTACCTTAATATAATATTTCTTAGTTAATGCTTCAGGAGATTCGGAAATCATTGAAAAAATATATATTGATATATCATGAGCTAATTTGTTTTGCCAAATGAAAATCGGACTGTCAATTAAAAATAAGATGATATTATCTAACTGTTTAAAATTTTTTAACACACGAATATGAATGCAAATAAAATTTTTAAACCAAATTTAAAATTTTATTTTTTGACTAATAAAATAATTGTGTTATTATTTTTAATTTTAATTACTGTTATTTCCCAATAGGGCGTCCTCTTGCATTATCCAAATTTAAAATATATGTTAATACTCTTAATTTAAAATATCTTGAATATTAGTTTTGTGGCAATTATTTAGTATGTCCCAAAAATTAACATTTTTATTAATCTTGCTCTCCTCCCTTTTTCTGATAAAGAATATTATATTATTTTAAATATGGTTTAATTAACTCTTCTTCTGAAGATAAATCAATTGTTTATATAAGCAATTTAATCATTTTTAATATGTTTGGTTATCTACAAAATTTAAAAAAAGGTTAATTATATCTAAATTTGATAAGTATATTATTTAATTATTATTATATGGCTGTTTGTTTTTATAATCAACCATCCTTAAAATCAACATTATTATTTTTCTAACCTTCAAATACGTTTCAAATTTAACAAGCAATGAAACCGAAGTAGTAATTGAATGTGGCTAATTTTATATCTTCAACCAATCTCTTATCTATCAATCATGATTAAATTCCAAGCTATCTGACCCATTTAATAAAATCATGTTTTCAATAGATAAAAAAAAATGATTGATGCTTAGCAGGACCATTTTATTCATAGTAAAATAATCAACAGCTTTAGCAGATTATTTTCATCATAAATCTGGGAAAATTGCCAAATTTAGGATATAATTAAGGTCGTCGATCTTTTGATCTCGATCCTATCAACTTTGCAATCAGAGATAGTATATGTGTTTACTATTGATTTGGATTGGATATTAATTATAAATATTTTATTAAAATTTATAAAATAATTGCAAAAGGAAATCCTTATAAAATAGTAAAGCATGATAGTTTCGAGATTGGCGACCTCACTCAATTATGAATTATATACCCGATAGAAATTTTTATCCACACATCACTGAGATAATATCTTGCCCCCTTCCTTTTTTATATACATTGATTCGATTTTTTAAAAATTCATTGTTAAAATTTTCAATTCAATATTTTAATTATATGGTTAAACATTTTTATATAAATAAAGTTGTAAATTTATTATATAGAAAAAATTATAATCAGAAACTGTTTTTTATTTACCACGAACAGTAGGATTTCATAATTATAATCAAATTATGGGTTCTTTGTCGTGAAAGTATTATCATGACAAGTCAGTTTTAACCAGGATTCTGGACCCAAATTCGAGTTTAAAATTGTTTGGTTAGGCATTTTGAGACCACAGACCAAACAGAGACCGATTTATGGGCAACCCATTGAACCCGGCATAATATGGACACGAGGCGGGATCGATCTCTTTAGAAAATCGGTTTTGTAAGTTTCTGTTATCAAATTTCCGTTAAAAAGAGATTAAAATTCCTGAACCTGAATTCGTGTCCATAACCCTGGTTATAATGAACTCTAAATTTAACAAAAAGTTTTTATTATTTTAATAATTTTGCCAATATTTTCTATTTTTTTATAGACATGTACAAATAAGCAACGAAGTGGCCATAAAGTTTTACCAAAAATTCGGTTTCGAAATTAAAGATATCAAGGAACAATATTACAAAAGGATCGAACCTCCTGATGCTTATATTTTAGAAAAAAAATTAAAAACCGCTAATTCATTATCGCCAAGTTCGAAGTCAAATGCCATAAAAGAGAAGCCATAATAAATTAACCCAAATTACGTGTAAAGATTTAAACTACGAAACAATTAACGAAATTAAGCCTTATTGTTTTTGAATAAATTGTAATTTTAAATAAAATTATATATTTCGTAATGAATATTTATACTCGTAACGCCATTGTGAATCTAATTATAAATTTGACAAATCATATTTTTTGAAAACGAAAGCCCCGCTTATGTGAAGAATTAATTTATGGGACTCCTCAAAACGCTAAATGCGATAAAAATATTAAGGGTTATATTGTACACTGTATATTTTACTTCTTTTTTGCAATAAGAAAGAGTTCGCTAAACCATTTATGGAAACACGCATTCTTAAAATTATTAAACATGTATTAATTGTTATCGTATCTATTGTCTAGAAATTATTTAACCCTTTCTCACCCGATTTTTCATTAGTATTTTAATTTTATATGCATTAAAAATGACCATTGATAACTTCTGAATTTTTAATATTTGCTGTTTCGTATTTTGTTATTAACTCGCTTTGATTTGTATGTTATCTTACGTACTGTTTTCGCGCCAAAATTTTAATTCATATTTCTGATTATCAAAACTTGCTAAAAATATAAATAATAATATATATATAGTAATATTTTTATTTAAAATTTATCTTTTTAAAATGGTCATTTCTTTGCACTAAAATATTTTTATCAATAAATAGGATTAGGATATTTAGATTTAGGGTTATGGAAACGGGGGGGGGGATTAATTAGATCTTAATAATAGTTACCTATATTGATTATCTAATGTCTATTAGTAAGTTTTCCTGGAGTTAGGGAAAGGTCCTAATTCCATATTTTATATAAATAACATGTAATGAGATGTTTTTATATCAATATGCATTTAAATATTACTACACTTATCTCCGACAGACCTTTAACCTACTTAAATTATCCTTTGCCTACATCATTTAAGTGGTAATCGAAAAATTTATTGGGATACACTTATGTACTAGTTTAGAATTGGTCTATTAAAACCTATTCTATTCCACAGGTAGCGGATATGTCCTGCAACCTTTTGATCCAGAAATTTTTTTACATTAATAATAACAATGATATGATGAATAGGGAAGATAAAGGATATAACAATTTATTCAAAATTCAACCCTTCATATGCCAACTAAAATATACTCAACTTGAGGAGAAGCTAACTATATGCGAATTAATTAAGGGAGGCTCAAGACGACAATACATTAAATCTAAGCCCCATGAATGAGGGATAAATGTTTTTACCCTATGAGGCTCTTTAAGGTTTATATGAGATTTTGAATTATACCAGAGAAATAACTAATTCATTAGGTATTAGTGGGGATATCGTTCTTCTTAATGAAAGAATGAGTGGAGTAGATCTACGCGAATTGCTGGTGGAATTAACGGACAGATATTAAATGGAAACGATATAATATGAGAATAGTTTTCAAAGGGTTCGAACCCGAACCTGGATAAGAAAACCCGGGTTTTTGGGGAAAAAATTTGAACCCGAATCTGAGCCCCGTTTATAAATTTTCAAAACCCCGAACCGAACCTGGGAAATTTTTTTGGACCCAGGCTCAACCTGGTTCAGTGTATTGTTTAAATTAATATAATATATTTGTATAATTGTAAATACAAATATTAATAATTTACTTGACATTTTATATATTTCCAATTAAGTAAGTGTTAATAAATTTTAAACAACTTAATTCATTTACTCCATTTTTAAATTTATTTTCAAAGATTCCTATTGGATTGTTAATAGATTTTAAACAATTAAATTCATTTACACCATTTATTTTTAATTTTTAACTCATTCCAAAGTGAAAGTGAACAAGTCAAAGTAAAAATTATTATATTGGATATTGTTAATTTAATGAAATACGTCTAAATAAATTTTTTTTTAAAATCTATACATGACTATGCTTTATATTTTTAACTATATTTTGCCTATAAATAAAATAAAAAATTTATTCTTTATACCAAATTTATGTCTTTTTTAATTATGATTTAAATATAGAATATTTTTTTTTAAATTCAAAAAATTTTAAACCCGAGCGTAACCCGAAACTAAACCCGGGTTCAAAAATAAACCGAACCCACTTATTTTTTAACCTTAAACCGGACCCGTGCAAAAATCTTGCCGGGTTCGCATCCCTGGTTATCCATTTATTAGATTCTTGTGTAAGAAATGCCTGGCTCCTTTATAGGGCCATATGAAAGCATTAAATAGTATAAAATTTAATACATCGCCGGTATTTAAATCGCAGATAGCAAAAGGGTTGATGCTAGCGGAAAAGGATAAGACCGGAAGACCTTCCAACATAGTTGTAAAAAAAGAAAAGCTATCAATATTGCACCTCTATCAGATATAAGATATGTTCAAGTATGTCAACACCCAATGCTTGTAATCATTAAGCCAAGGTGTGAGTATAACGAAGAAGCCTATTCAAGAATATTTGCAAAAATGTAATACTTATTTATGTGATAATAATCGAAATTGTTATTTGTCATTTCATATGGAATAAAATAATTTTTAAATTAACTTGTATTTTGCCCATTGATGACAATTGGAATCATTGAATATCTTTTAAAAGAAATACTCAAAATAAATTTTGGTGAAAATGTGTTATTTGTGTATATGTAGGCTTCAATATATTTTTTCCTACAATGTGTTATTTTTTCAAGTTATCATTTTTGAGCGGGTATTTAAAAATATGATTTTACCCGAAGTTTACAATACCTACCCTATGAATTTCAGACAATTTTTTAATAAACTTTTCCATATATTTTTTATACAAAATATAAATGACTCAAATGTTAACAGCAAAATTGTCTACAATTCATAAGATAAGTATTCCAAACATGATGGAATATATTTCTGGTAAAATCCGATTTTTAAATTTATTGAAACGAGCTCAAAAAATGATTTAAGTAAAAATTATATTGTCGGAAAAGAAACATTGATGCTAACATATACAAAAAATCTATCTTAAAAAGATTCTTCATCGAGGGAAAATAGTGATGATGGACATAAATTTGACTTTTTGCAAAAACTTTGTGTTTAAAAAATTTGTCGTTGGTATATTTGTCTTCTACATGATAGGAATATTATATTGATTTTTCTACATTATATATAAATATACTATATATGTATGATTCTATATGATCTTACTAATAAAATTTCTGTCTTTTATCCAGTTAAATTTTACAAAATAAATTTAATATTCTATCTTTTTTTAATTTATGGTTAATTGAAATTTTCGAATTGAATAGAATATTCGACGAATCGAATCAAATAATCATTTTATTATTCGTACGAATACGAATAATGAATTATTCGATTTAAATGAATACGAATAAATCCATTATTCGATTCGTATTTTTGTAGGTATAATCACTAGGCATATATTGGTGACTTTCTTTCTCTAAGTTCCGGTCTTTCGTTTCCTAATTTAGTAGATATAAAGATTTGTGAATAGTGGAGGCTCTTCAGGCCACTCTTTTGTTAGCCTTGTAACTCCCCCCCCCCTCCATCGCTATTTTTCCGCTCATAGGACAGAAAACGACCTTATTCCGGGCGAGAACAGAAAATATCAACCTTAATTCTTATCGGATTTATATCATAACGCTGTTACTGATTAATATAAAAATAAAAACAGTGCTCCTAAAAATATGCTATATCTTTACCTTATATATAATGTATATTTCACTGCAGTTTACCCATACTACATTTTGGCGTTTTAATTAAACGTAAAATCATATATTATTTACTATCAGTACTAATCTAGGCATGGCTTCACCTCCACTTTTCAGTTAACTACTACTCAATGGGTTCTAAAAATCTTTTTTTAAAAAATAAAACTCAATATTTTTTTAAATTTGCTTCAAAATGTTTATTGAGGGGGCTTGAGCCTCCTACTATCCAACTGTGACGCAGCTGATGTACCGATTTGTTTGTTTTAAAACAATATATGTAAAATATTGTTAACTATTTTTCTTTATCCATTAATTTTTTATATTCTATGATCTCTTACCACTTAACTAAGTTTTTATCACCAAATATAATATATCTTATTTTAGAGTTAGACAAAATAAATAATCTTTTTAATATGACTGTCAATAATGATTCTATTTAAATTTACACTTTTATCAGAATAGTGAATCTTCCATTTTCTTGAATAAAACCGTTTGTACCTACTTTTACATGTGACTGACTGATATAAGTATTAATTTGTGATACAAAGGCCACGTTTGTAAAGGATTAGTTATTTTTACATGTCAAGAGTAGACTCAATTATTTTGGTTACAATGAATTAGAGATGTACCGATATTTTATAACAGATCGGGCCGATATTTCGCCCATTTTAAAATATCGGTTATCGGCAAATATTATAAAATTTTCCGATCCGATCTGATAAAAAATGGCGCTTTTAACAAAATTTAAAAAAAGTTATATCTAAAAACCATTTATTTTTATAAATAAAATCGAAATCCATTTTTATGTTTAATTTTTTTAATAGTAATAATTAGTTAATAAACATTCTGCCATATAGTTATTTTTTTTCGCATTCTGTTTAAAAAAGTGTTCAATAATCTGTTCAGAATCTTTTTTTAGTGATGCTAGTGAAGTGATATTGATAGTCCCCATCACCGCAGACTGATCTTTGATAAATTGGAAATTTTGGTATTTCTAAAAAGAAATCTTCGATATATTAATTTTAACTATTAATTTCAAATTTCATAATATATTTGTTTATTACTAATTATGTAAATAGATTAATGTTATTACTTATTATACAAATAAGCAATTTATCAATAAAAATATTTTATATACTTTTAGAATTTCAATTGAATTGAATATAAACTATAACTGATCATTATAATATATTTAAATGACATATGTTATGGTATAGTAAAATAATAGATGTTATACTAATAAAAAGTATATTAAAAATTAAAACCATTGGTATCTTTACAGAATACCAATTAGATATGATATCGGATCGGTTATAGGTCGATATCAATTTAATGGAATATCGGATCGGCCTCCACAAAATCAGGTCAATTCAGCGAAACTTTTAACGCGAAACACTTTTTCGCGAATGTCATTTATCGCGAAAAGTTTTTTGCGAAACATTTATAGCGAAGACAATTTCGCGAAGCCATTGTCGCGAATTTATTTCCGCGAAACCTTAACCGCGATTTTATTTCCGCGAAACCTTAACCGCGATTTTATTTCCACGAAACCTTAACCACGAATTTATTAAAGCAAATACATTTTATCGAAACGCGTATACTTTACAGCGAATTTTTTATCGCGAATATGTTTGCGCGAAGTCATTATCGCGAGCGCATTACTGCGAAATAATAAATATATTGCGAATGCATTTATTTAAAGGAAAACAACATATTATTTATTATTTGATGTTTTTTAATAAAAAATGATATGCTACTATTGTAATATTATTTTTGTTACAATTTATTAGTAGTGTTGTAAACGAACGCGTTCACGAAGTTCGTTTTTTTGAAAAAAGGTGATGAACGGCGTTCCTACGAACTTTGAACGCGTTCCTTTTC